TATTATGTAATGATAATTAATAAAAAGATAATTATTTGGTAATGATTAGTTTATTTTAAGAAAAAAGTTAAAATAATTATTAATATTTCCTTTAAAAAAATAAAAAGGGTCCAAATTGCTAACCCATTTTAGGTGGAAAGTAAATTAATATCATATAACTTTTTACCCTTCACTTATTATTAATCACATATTTTCAACAATTTCTTTAAGTAACGAGCAATGATGTATTTCTATTTTAATAAATGTACTTTTAAAATTAAAGGATAATTAGGGAAGAACCCTGTTTTGTGAGGTTGAAAACACCAAAGAAATGCAAAAAATAAAAACATTTTATTGAGTTACATTGTAAAGGACTATGCTATTTAAATATTAAAATTGCAACAAATAGCAATCTATTTTCATGTGCCACCACCAAGTGAATGACCAAGAATCTGAAAAAATAAATACAAAAGCTTTAGGTATTAATTTAATAAGTATATGTATTGTATACAACCATAAAAAGGTAGTATTTACGTAAAACCAACACACAAAAAAATTACCATATTTTTAGAAGCTCCAGGGTTCACATATAAACCACTAATCCTACACCAAAGCAACACAAATCCAACAGTTGAAATATAAACCACTAACATACTCATTTCTTGTTTAACTACTAAACTAATTGAATCCCAAAAGATACCTGAAAAGTTTTGCTTTTTGATACAACCTCATCAGTATTTCCCATATATATTTGACATTTTGAGACAGGATTAGAGGTTCAGGGACAATTGTTTGCACCAAGTCAAGAGTATGTTGACTTTATGTAAATGTATATATATATATATACACACACACACACACACACACACATATATATATATATATATATATATATATATATATATATATATATATATATATATATATTTGGACGAAATTGGAATTTGTCATGTCAATTAGAAGATATGGAATGGAATTAATTTTCATTTGTTCTTGAAAATATGTTGAATATCAGACGTTTTGAAAGTAAAATGCTATTTTCTACATATATTCTAAAGTAGTAATGTTAATCTTTGATTTTTCTAGAAAATACCTAGAAAATATGCAGAAAATCCGACTTGTTGAAAGTACATTGCCAGTTTTTGCATATTTTCTATTTTATTTTTGTTTAATTCTGCTGGAAAATATGTATAAATAGGTTCTTGTTTTTGAAAGGACAATGCTATTTTATACATATTTTCCTAAGGTTTTGTTAATATTGTAGAAAATATGCGGATATTCAAATTTTCTAGCATAAGTCAAAGCAAACATAAAACTCCCCTAACTCTTGATAAATCTACCTAATGTCCTCCTCAAGCTTTTAAGAATTGACAAATACACCAAGCCATTATTGTCAATTCATATCCTCTAATAAAACTTTTTGATTCATTTGAGCTGCATAAAGAAAATAAAACCTGGTAAAATGAAGAGGTAAATATGTCATGTTTTTCCTTGGTAAGAAATGGAATGAAATTAAATTCCATTCTTTTATATTTTGTTTGTTTGGAAATCGATCGAAGAAATTGGACCAGGAATTATGTTAAATTGACAAATTACCCTTTATTGATTTTTTTTTTGTATTTTGTTTCTTTTTCAGGGAGTTCTTATTCATGTGTAAATACAACATGTGATGCCTCCATATTGGAGTCTTTAACTGGAAGTGCATCGACAACGCCTCAAGGTTTGTATATATATACTAGAAAAATTTGAGGCCCGTGCTAAGCACGACCCATGAATTGTATTTTCGGTATTTTTTAGAAAAGCCATAAGATTATACTGACAAACCATAATTAAACAAATACATTGTAGTGTTCTTTCTTGAAGGGTTTTTTAAGGTTAAATGCAAAAAAAAATAGCAATGCACTTTCATGCATAGTTTTTGTATTGATTTTTTCGATAAAAATGTAAGAACAATGCTATTATTGGAAGCTCTCTTGATGAAGTATGAAATGGGAGATGTGCTCCTGGATGCCTCATATGATAAATAATAATAGTGTGTATAAGTTTGAATAATTTTGTCTCACCCTACAAAAAGAGAGATAAGATTTAACTCAAACATGAATATTTTGAAGCAAATTAAACAAAATTCTTACGGTTTAAGATTATCGGCACTAATGCAATGCATTGCAATGTTGAAATAAAATGAAATGATAGTATTATAACAAAAAAAATGAAATTAAAGTACATTTCACTAATATACGGATAAATGCTTATCATAATATTAAGAAATGTAAGCATGATGCTATAATAAGATAAATAAAACTTGAAACTACAATGATAGGGTAGATTTTTTGAATGCCCTTAATAAGAAAAAAAAAACAAAAAAAAAAACAATGATTTAATAAGATTGAAAATAAACAGAATGCTAAAATAAATAAATAAGGAAGTACATGTCTCTATATGGGATTACTTAACGTTGGTTACCTTTGCTTTATATGGAGTGGTGAGAAGAGAACTAATTAATAGTACATTTTAAAGACCATAATATCATAAGGGGGGATTATGTTAGCAATGTTTCTGTACACAAAGCGTCACCTGGTTGGGTGTCCAAGATAAGATGGCTATATTGTTGTTAAGTTGGTGCCTTTTTAAGGGTTACAACACCAATTCGCATGTGCTTGGTTAAAGAATACATGGCATTTGTTTTATTCAAACCCCTTGTTCTCTCTTTCTCATCAGCAAACCTAAAAATCCATACCATTTTGAACACAGTTAGTTTGTAAAATATGGTATTGTAATTTAGATTATATTATCATGAAAAGGTTCCTGTCATTAAGAATTAGATGAACTAAAATGGGTTATATTGCAATTTCCATTCCTTTAGATGAACTAAAATGGGTTATATTGCAATTTTCATTCCTTTCGGTTATGGAATGGAAAACAAGCACCCCTAGAATGAAAATTAACAACTTCGATAATTTGTCAATTTCTCAATGGCATCTGATGTGTCAACAACTATAGGCATAATTATATTGCAAGAAGACAATACACATTGAAACCAATGAGAAAATGTAAAAAAATTGTTTAACAAATCTAAATTTAGATGCCTTCTGAAGCACACGGGTTTAGTTTCAATTACCTGCTCCTCCACCTTTTGACACCATTATCACAACTTAAATTCATCGTTTTCTGTGTCGATTAGAGAACCAAGTTCTAAAGCAACTTCTTTTTTTCATTTTCCTGCCTTCTGAAGGATACCACTCTTGTTGGAGCTTTCTGACTATTTTTTTTTCAAACAGGAGTGGATTCATGGAAAACACAATATACATCACATATATACACATTTCTTCCAAGAATATGTCTTTTCATATCAAATTCATAATAACGTTCAATTGTGCTTCTGAAAAGTCAAACCTTGTACTTTTCAAAGTGAAAATCCACATTGATGACAGCTGAGAATGTGTTCTAACATGAAACCTTTACTGTATTATTTATGAAATCAAAAAACCAAGAAAAAAAAATGCACAATGGGTGTTTTCTTGAGGTTGCTGCACATGAAGTTTGAAACTAACCTACAATATTACTAAAGTTTACCTTCTAAAGCTAAATTATAACATGAAAGTGATAATTATGTGAGAATTATAAGAGATTAGGGAAAACATAGGTGGAGGCAATAGATATTACCTCAAAAACCCTAAAATGGAGGAGGCAAATGTACAAAGGATGTCTTCAATCCACTACAAATCCAATCAAAAACAATATTGAATTCAACATATCCAAAAAAAATTGCAAAAGAAACCACCTAAACAAACCCAAAAATTTTCATTAAATGATGCATATATTAAATTGTAGAAGAAATCACAAATTCACTGACGGGACCAAATATTTCATCTATTTTGCATACCTGTATAAATTGAAAGTGGAAAACAAACAGAAACCCCAACCATTTTTCTTTAGGGAACCCCCATTTCCCTCGACTTGCGATTTCCCACATGAAGGGCCCTTGCAACCACCTCACTACACATTAAAGAGGAGAACGAGAAAGAAATATTATATTTGAGCAATAGGCTTTGAAGAAGAAACGGGAGAGAGAGAGAGAGAGAGAGAGAGAGAGAGAGAGAGAGAGAGAGAGAGAGAACGCCGACCGGTTTCAGTCGTGGATTATTTGTTAAAGAAAGGCGAATATGATAAGTGTAAGACAAAAATAGAATATAAGGAGCGATTGTATTCCGGAAAGGAAACATGTGTGACGGTGGTTCTTTTCAGGAATTGGGAAGCGGTGGTTGAACATAGATGTACCCTCTTTGAAACGTCTCATCTAGAGCGACGATTGACCCATCTTCAACCGTTGCGAAATGCTCTTCTTTAAGATCTGGTCACGCGTTATACGTTCTCTGAAAATAATAGGGTTTATAAAAGAAATGAACCCAAGTCAAATGAGAAGAAAGGAATCGCCATTACAAAGTGTGAGGAGGAAAAAGAGGGAAGAAGTGGTGGGAAACGGAGTCTCAAACATGGTTGGTGACAAACCAGTATCGAATGCGAGTGGAACAGACACCTCTTTCAAAGAAGGGTTATGCTTAGGAAAAGAAAGGCGATGTTATATGGTACATGGTGTCGGTCTGAATACACGTAACGTGGCGTCCTTGTAACATTGTGAATTTGCTCTAGACGGCACGAGAAAGGAAGGGTTTTTTATATAGTAATGATATATATATATATATATATATATATATATATATATATATATATATATATATATATATATATATATGGTAAATGCATATTTAAGCAACAAAATTTCATTTTTACTTGATTTATGCAACAAAATTGCACATATTTCGTAACTTAGACAAAAACTTTTTACCTTTTGCATAACTGTTGCGAAGGGGCATACATCTTCAATTCTTCATTCTTTGTGCGTTTACAACTATAAATCAACAATTTCGTTATAGAAGGGTGTAATTGCAAGAAACTCAAAAACATGGGTCAGAAAAGGAAGAATACCGGTAAAAAGAGGAACCGATGTGTAGAGTGAGATTTTAGTTTCGTGTAAAGTGATGTTTAGAGTTCAAATAGTAAATCTTCAGTACATAATAAGCAATGCTCCATGTGCGTGCACTCAAAACACATTCATCAAGTTTCCCCATGGAACCACTTAATCAAATAATTAAAGAGTCACACAAACATAAAAAATCCAGTTTGAAGAAACAAAAAGATGATCAAAGAAGCTAATTGAAAGGAACATGTTACTAGATGAACATATTTTACTCTTAAATTTGACATGGGCAGGAACAATGACTAACAACACAAACCTCATTAAATTTAGATAAAATATGAGACGTACCTTCTCAATTGTTCCAAATAGCGCTTTCTTACGTTCTCTACAACTAGTGACAATAGACCATGGGTGGGAAAATGACCGGTCCACTGCCTTGCTTCATGTTAAAAGAGGAAGCAAATTTTTTTGAGAAAGTTGTGAAAGAAGAAGATTTCGTAAATCAAGTAAGTAAAGTTCAATGAGTTTATAGATATTTAATAACATGGATAATATTCCAAAGAAATGTTCTATGTAGCTTAAATCAAATGACTTACCATTATAAATACATGATGTTGATCCCCTGTAGACCTTCTCTAGCGAGATTGAAATCAGACAACTTCAGGTTAGATTTCTTATCCCTTTATACATCTGCGAAGTAGAAATCACAAAAATTATATTCCAAAATTAGAAATTAGAAAAAACATATCAATGATTAGATATTAAAAACCTTTGAACATAAGCTACAATCTGATTATTGTCGGTTGCTTACGTAAGAAAATCATGGATACAACACTTTATCTAATTTACCTTAAGGTCTAACCTTGAAACTGGCGATTAGAAATTGTTGATGTTGTTATATATATATATATATATATATATATATATATATATATATATATATATATATATATATATATATATATATATATATATATAATGGTGTAAAGGCCTTGATTGGGTATGACTCACAGGGAACGCTCACTGCTCCGGAAACATACCCACCAACGGACTGTAGGATACGAAAAATTATAAGTATCAATTTAGAACCAAATTCGAGATTTTAGAGAAGAGGTAGTAGACAAAATTAATATGAAAAGAAATAACATAAAAAGGAACATACGAAGAATAATAATCAGCTACGTCGCCATAGCCGTCTGTCTTATTCCAGAACCAATCGAAGTTGACATACATTGAGATTTCTACCTGCGTTTTGTCTACTCTTGCTATAAAAGGGATGTGAAGTAAGTTAGCTAATCAGAATAGAAATCGTCTTTTATGGTTCTAAGTCAAACAAAAACCCTAATCAGCCGTAGAATGACCTATACTAGTGATGAATTGTCGGAAACTAACCTGGTAGCTCCACCACCATCATAGTGCCACCTATATGTTTGTTGATTATTTTTGAAGCACCACAGAAGATGGAATCAGAAGGAAAGTGAAAATAGGAGGTGAAGCGAAAGCAGACGGAGGTGATCGATAGATATTGTCGTAGAGAAGGAGGTGAAGTGGCGGAGGCAAGAAGAAAAGAGAGAAGGGATATAGATTGATATCCAAGAGACGGAGCTTCATAATGAGAAGGGTGGAGCGGTGGGAAGCATAAGGAAGAATCTGGTAAAATGATTAGAGAAGGAAAGGGAAGAGATAGCATTGGAAAAAAAACCGACCGGCTGATGGAAAAAAAAAAACTGATGTTGGTCTAATCACAACCAAGTCCTATTCACTCAAGGACTTTTAAATTAGTATGTATATATAATTACTTAAAAGGATAATATAATTACTTAAAAGGATAATATGTATTTATCTCTTTGTACACATTTAGTACTTATAATTTTTTTGATGCAAAATAAGTCATTGATATTTTTCTACAAATTCATTATTTATAACCGGTTTCTGCAAGTTTTACACACGCCAACCAACGTGACACAGTTATTAATAAGATGTGTGGGGTGTAGTTATTATAGATCAAGTGTATGAAATGAATCAGAGTAAAAATTGAAATATGTAACATACACGTTCAGTTATCGTGTTTTGTAATAAATAATATTATGAAATATTATATTATATCAAGCATTGAGTTCTATCAGATGGTTTTTACTAGAAATGAAGTAAAATTTTGTTTAGAATCACTCGGAAAATATTAGAAGTCTTATCAGATTCCAATCAAATGTTAAATATTAAAATTTAATGAAAATATAAAGTTTCAAATAAGTAAAATTTTATTATTTGAAGTTGTAAAGAATCTCGTGAGAAACATAAAGGCGAAAACCTCATCGAAATTCGAGTTATAACGAAGAAGTTATGATCAATGGAAGATCCGCGACAAAACCGACAAACACAATTTAGCATAAAAAGTGAGTTTACGATAAACTAATTTTTATCCTTAGTGATCTAAATGAAAGTCATAGTATTCGTTAAACCGAGAATTTTCATAAAAAGAACGTCAAAGTCTGACTTCGTATGAGCAAGTTATGATTTTTCTAAATTTTGGAATAACAGTAGAC